CTCGGAGGCTGTCAGAGGCTCCAGAACCTTGCAGAGAGTCTCAGAGGCTCTCAGAAGTTCTAACACCTTGCAGAGTCTCGTGGGCTCTCAGAGGCTCCGGAACCTTGCAGAGGTCTCGGAGGCTCTCAAAGGCCCCAAAACCTTGCAAACAGTTTCAGAGGCTCTCAGAAGCTCTAGAACCTTGCAGAGGCTCGGAGCTGTTCAGAGGCTCCAACGTTGTTGGGATCTCACCCGTCCCACGTGTCCTTGACGGTTGGGATCTGAACCGTCCGGTTGGGATCTGGACCTTTCTCGCCAGAATGGGGGGTGGAACCGCATGCGGGCGCAGCCACTAGGGCCTTCGGTGGAGCTCCCTATGGGGCCACGAAGCGTGTGACGGGTGTGCCAGAACGGGGGGTGGAACCGCATGCGGGCGCAGCCACTGGGGCCTTCGGTGGAGCTCCCTATGGGGCCACAAAACGTGTGAGGGGTGTGCCAGAATGGGGGTGGAACCGCATGCGGGCGCAGCCACTGGGGCCTTCGGTGGAGTTCCCTATGGGGCCACGAAGCGTGCGAGGGGTGTGCCAAAATGGGGGGTGGAACCGCATGCGGGCGCAGCCACTGGGGCCTTCGGTGGAGCTCCCTATGGGGCCACGAAGCGTGTGAGGGGTGTGCCAGAATGGGGGGGTGGAACCGCATGCGGGCGCAGCCACTGGGGCCTTCGGTGGAGCTCGGGCCACGAAGCGTGTGAGGGGTGTGCCGAATGGGGGGTGGAACGCATGCGGGCGCAGCCACTGAGCCCTTCGGTGGAGCTCCCTATGGGGCCACGAAACGTGTGAGGGGTGTGCCAGAATGGGGGGTGGAATCGCATGCGGGCGCAGCCACTGGGGCCTTCGGTGGAGCTCCCTATGGGGCCACGAAACGTGTGAGGGGTGTGCCAGAATGGGGGTGGAACCGCATGCGGGCGCAGCCACTGGGGCCTTCGGTGGAGCTCCCTATGGGGCCACGAAACGTGTGAGGGGTGTGCCAGAATGGGGGGTGGAACCGCATGCGGGCGCAGCCACTGGGGCCTTCGGTGGAGCTCCCTATGGGGCCACGAAACGTGTGAGGGGTGTGCCAGAATGGGGGGTGGAACCGCATGCGGGCGCAGCCACTGGGGCCTTCGGTGGAGCTCCCTATGGGGCCACGAAACGTGTGAGGGGTGTGCCAGAATGGGTGTGGGAGGGGGAGGAGGGGGGAGGAAGGGGAGGAGGAGGAAGGAGGAGGAGGAGGAAGGAACGCGGGGCGACGTCTCTTCAAAACGAGGACCCAACACCACAGGATGGTCGGGAAAAAATCACTTGCGGCCCCCCCCTCAGCCACAGGAATAGTGGTTTCTGAATCCGCGGGCGCCCCCGCCACGTCGTCATCTCCGTCGGCGGGCACGCGGGGGCTCTCGACAAATTCAATTTCAGCAGGGTGCCCCGCGACGGGTATGCCCAGCGAGTCTGCCAGGTCAATATCATTGCGGCCACTGAGTACCTTCTCGAACAGTCCGTCGGCAGAATTCTCGAGGGACATACTGGCACTCAAATATCTGGCAGCCATGAAGATAACGAGTGCAACTGAGCTATCGGCAGGGTCGGCTAAAAGTGACTCCCAATCAACATACTTTATATCCGAGTCAGTTTGAGCCAGGCGCATCGACGGGCCTCTGCCTCTCCCATCGCCCTGAGGGCATTCGCGACGAAAGTGATGCGTGCTATGGCATATGTCGCACTCCATAGTTTTGCCGTTGGCATCCCTCGGGTTCCCCGACGTCCCCTACCTTATCCTGATGTATGCCTACGATTCCTGCCTGCACCTACGAATATATCTTCATATTGTGGCCCGGAAAGGGATGCTAGGAATGCTAACATGCCTCTGCCATGCAATCGCCGACGCATACCTTTACCCCTACCTCGACCCTTGCCTCTCCCCTTGAGTGCCCGTCGGACGATGCGCCGAACATTATGAACTGGCTTCTTCATAAATCGCCTCCACCTACGTTTATGTTTCTCCTATCCTAAGAATAACCATTGCGCCTGCTGCTCTTCCGTGAGGTACGGTGGCATATCGGAGTAGTCTAGGGCTGTAGCCTCGTCGTCCGAAGACGTTTCAGTGTCAGTGCCCGTGTCGAAGTCGGACTAAGCAGCTTGCCCCGCTGAGCCCATTAGGGTCGTGCCATGTGCACGGGGGTACCGCGTCGGGCGGCCCCCGAAACCTTGTCCAGGAGTCTTGCGACCCCGAAGCCAATCCACCATTCTGAGCCAGTAGTGTAGTGGTCTCAGTTGGTTGTGGATCGTCAATCCAGACGTTACTAGCAGGTTGCACTGCGTTTGCCCCAACGTGGAAGGTCTCGGTTCGGTGGCCGTGACTGAAAATACCACCAATATTGCCAGGGGTTCTCTCAGCAATGTGCGCATATGACCTCATGCGTTCCAATAGAGAGTCAAACTGTTGCTAGTCTCTCGGCACGCGGTGGTTGAGTGGCTGCAAAAGTTGCTGTGCACGCGATGCCCCCCGTCCAACACGGGCACTGAATAAAATGACTACAAAAAAATGGAAGTTGAGGATGTTTCCGTTTCGCCTTCATGGCGGGCTATCTCGAAGCGTGCCAACGTCTGGTCGATTCGTTCTCCCGCATGGACTCGGAAGTCGATGAGAGCTGTACCAGAGTTGAGTTGGCGTTCCTCTTCTAGATTCTCTAACTTAGTGCTTAAGAGGGACATGATGTAGGTGACACCGTCGGTATGGCGGTCACCGATGTTAACACCAAGACTGATAACTGCTGGGGGAACTCTCATGGCTATGGTCCGAGCGAAGCCTCCCAAACCTCGCTGCAAGGCTGCAGCTTGTTGGGAGGGCGTCATGTTGCCTGTGGTCACGTTCATCCAGGCATGTACCTCGCGGGCGAATTCGCGGAAAGGTACTTGACCGGCCAGGTCCCAATGGGGGCCAGACGTTCTCGTGTCGTCCCCGCCACGCATATGTCCTACCGCACACCCGATAGCGACCCATGTGAGCCCAAATATAGCAATGCCAATCCAATGGCCTCGCAGGTCGTGGTCGGATGTCGTCGGTCGGGGTTTTCGACGTGTGGTCGCAAGCCTGCGTGGGGGTGGAGGCGGCGCAATGTCGTATCACATGTTTCCGTGCATTATGGCTTCGGAGACGTTTCCAATGGGAGTCGGTGGGTGGACTTCAGGAATGTAGGGGCGCAAGGATGCAGGACGAAAGTAAGAGGCGTCCGCGTAGGCAGAGGTGTCACTGCAAATGTGCTCGGCACGCTGCGTACTTATATACATTCCTCTGCGCAAACCCACTGCACCCTGATGTTCCGCCATGTCTGTAGTCCACCAAATAGTGCCGTGGATGGTGAGGAGTACACCGAGAGCTGACCACCATAGGCCAGCTCCGCTACCAAGTTTGACAGTGGTTGGGAGGCCCATCCAGCAGCTTCGCTTTAGGCGAAGCCAAGCTCCCGCTAGCCCCAGTAGTAGGAGGCTAGCCATCTCAACCAATTCTGGTATCGATGGCAAATGGTACACCTCACGTTGAGGTGTAGCCAGATCTGGGCGGCCAGCCGCTTTGAGCCAAGCAGCCGCGCGGATGCACGCTCGTTCCCACTCACACGCAACGCCCAGTTCACTTTAGAGTCATTATTTCCTCCTCCTCCTCCTCGTCCTCCTCTCCCTCTCCCCCGCGAGGCATCTGCAGGCATCAGCATTCCATAAGCAAACACACAACACATTCCCCCGCCTCCTCCTTCCCCCAATCCGTCAGCCGCGCCCACTTCATCCGCCATCCTTTCGTCGTCGTCCTGTCTTCTTCTTCAACACTTCTTCATTTTGTTATCTTGTGTCCATTCCTGTCTGCACCTCAGCGCCCCGCCAATGGTTGCCAGAATACGTTTAAAAAACATGCAGCTAATGACAACAAGATACGGCAACCGCGATCGCTGGCTCTGGCGAGGTGCTGGAATATTTCGCTCTTTCCGGGTCCGGGACCGTCCAACAACGACCCTGGGTGAAGCACCGGTCTTGGGGAAGTCCTGGCGGCCAGGACCTTTCCCTTCAGGACCGCAAGCAGAGCAGTCCCCACCCCCACCAGAGACACCTTGGCGCCCTGGTGCGCGACCTACCTCCCCTAAGTGATGGAAGGGTGCCGCCTGCACTGGGCTTCCCAACCTAAACGGGTCACGCTGGGAGAGCGTACCTTCCCCGTCCCAGTCGGGGTCCAGGGTGGCTCTGGCGATGGTGACCCGCCAGAAATCCCCCGTCGTAATTTTTACAACATGGCTCCCCAGAGGTCTGGCTTCCTTCCCCAAGACCACTATTTCAGCCCAGGTCGCTTCTTGAGGGTCCTTGGGCCCCGTGAAAACCCCCGCAGGACGAGAGTGGCCCAAACACCTCCCGTCGAGACCTCTGCACAATGCAGGGAGGCGGTGGTCACCCAGCGGTGGAGGCGAAGGAGGCGAAGGTCAGTGGCGACCGTGGAGCAGAGACAGACAGGGGCGCCGGCGGCGGGACGCCCGCCGAGGCTTGAGGGGCCCATGGCGGAGGGCATGTCCAGGGGGCCCCGAGCGTTATGATGGGCGCCGCGCACCTCCGAAGAAAGCCGAACCGTGGCGACCCCCCCTTGCCATCGCACGGACGTCCACTCCCCGTGCACTCTTCGGCCTCGCGCGCGCATTGCTTCGCCATCTGATCCAGGATTTGGACGCCCGAGTTATCCGGGGTAACTCGGGTCCGGGGTAACTCGGGTTTGGGTTCCCGAAACACGAACCCGAGTCAGCCCTGACCCGAGTTACCCCTGATGATTCGGGGCTCTGGACGCCCGAGTTATCCGGGGTAACTCGGGTCCGGGATAACTCGGGCTTGGACTCCCGAAAAAGGAACCCGAGTTAGCCCTGACCCGAGTTACCCCTGATGATTCGGGGCTCTGACAGGATACTCCTCGATGCGCCTCGCCGAGCACCTGGCGCGGGACGGGCGGGCGGCCTTTCCCGCCGGCGCCCTTGCGCGGGCGCCGCCTGGCGGGCGGCGGCCGCTCCTCGGCGGCCTCCCGGCGCGCAGGGCGAGGAACAGAGGAGGCCAGAGAGGGCGCAGGGCGAGGACGAGGACGAGGACGAGGACGAGGACGAGGACGACGACGACGACGACGACGACGGCGGCGGCGGCGGCGGCGGCGGCGGCGAGCCCAGGGGGGAAGACAGAGACCCGACGCCTTGTGAGAAGGCCCGCCCGCTCCCGTTTCCCCCCGGGGCTCGCCGCTGAATTCAGGGGGGCCGGGGGGACCTGGGGCAACGGGGGAAGCGAAGCGGAGCAGAGCGAACGCCCGAGTCGTGCGGGCTCCGCCTAGGAGCCCGCCCGAGCCCTGAAGGCATGGCGTGGGGGGCGTCCTCAAGAATGTGATACGCGCGCGTGCCCACGTGATAGCCACAGCTTGTAAGATCGTGGATGCCGATCTTGTTTTGTGAGCTTGGTCTTTGGGGAGGTGCAGGGGGAGACGAGGGCAGAGGAGGAAACGCGGACGGGAGGGCGGAGAGCGGGGAAGGGCAGAGGAGGAGGAGGAGGAGGAGGAGGAGGAACAACGGGTGTAAAATCAAATGCTAGCGCCGAGAGGCGGGCCTGGCCTTTGCCTGTGTAGTTTGGCTCCTGCGGGAGAACGTTCCAGATCTCCTTTACCCGACGCGCAACCTTCGCCACCCGCGAGACCCAAGGGAGATAATGGGTCGAGAAGGAGGAAGGGGAGGAGGATTCGATTCGACTCGAGCTCATGGAGGCCAAGACTGTAGCGACGTCGAAGGCAAGCCTTTGCAAAACATTGTTCCACTGCTTACTTTAACCACAGAAGCGGATTCTGAGGTAGGGCTTGGTGAGCCTCCGCTTGACACTGTTGGCCGAGTGTTGCGCTATGCGCAACGGCAGCGCTGGCCCTGGCACGCAACCCACCAGGCCCCCACGCGGGGGGCTCGCACTGCGCGGGCTCGCACGGTGCGGGGCCCTGCCTTGAACTTGCAGGGATCCGTGCTCTCATTGCCAACGGTGGGGCATCGGGGGGTCTTAAACCACGGCCGAGGAAGTCCAGAGGCTCATCCCGAATTTGGGGGGATGGAGTTCTAAGCTCAAGCTTCACACCCTGATCAGGCAAGTCCGGGGAAGGGAAGGATGAAGGGGAGGACAAGGGGGAAAGGAGGGAGAGCCCACGAGGGATGGATATGTTTATGATGGCGATCTGGGCGTTTTGAAAAGTTCAGAGAAGACTTTGGGGTGCCAAGGAGGAGGGGGGATGACAAGTTAGGCGAGCTCGCGCAACATCAGAAAACCTACCCCTCCATCCCATCCCTTTACATGGCGCTTTTGGTTTCTCGATCCGCCGACGCGTGTCATAGCGGACCTGAAGCTCCAACAAGGCCCACGTCGCATTACTCATGCGGCAATCGGAAAATAAGGAACCTGCGCACAGTGGAAGACGTGCCAGATGAGCTGGAGGATGAGCAGGAGGAAATGGAGGATGAGGAGGAGGGAGGAGAACGAGGACGAAAAGCAGCAGCGGGAGCTGGAGTTGAAGGCGTGGAAGGAGCGGGAGGGGCAGGATGATCAGGGGAAGGCGGAGGAGGGGAAATGAGGGAGGCGACAACTGAGGGGCCCCTGGGACACACAAATAATTACACACAAATGAAAAGTATTCCCATAGTTCCCCATCTGTTATGGGTGTTTGTCTTCCCCCCACTTCCCAGATTTTCCTGGGGATCAACGATTGATTGTGTCTGTATGTTTTTTCCCTCCTGAACAACGATGAGCAAGGACTGGGATCAAGAAGAGCGGCCCGCGATGGTGCGAGAAAATCGTTCGGAACGACGGGAGCCAGAGGCTGATCCTGAGATGAGGCCCACCCTGCAGCTGGCGAAGGACCGAACGTGCTCGGACCGGGAGGGGGCCGCAAGGGCAAGACAGCTCTGACCAATCGCAGCAGATCTTCAGGAGTGGGGAGAACGTTCGGAGGCAACTACTGGGAAGTGTTCGTCGGAAAGATTTAAGGGGGATAAAGCCCCATTTCGGAGCTATTACGCCGGAGTGGGCCTCCAAGTAAGCGGGATTAAACCTGATAGAGTGGGATTAAGCTGAACTTCAGAATTTGACCTCCCAGGAATTGCATCCCAAAGAACGGCGAAACGTGCTCGTAGCTCGTGAGCGTGCAGAAAAGAGGATGGTCTCTTTGAGCTCGGGGCGCCCACAAGTTTCAGACTGCTGGGTGCGACAACAGGTCACGGTCAAACTCGGAGCCCGCAGGAAAAGAACAACAAAAAAACGCATCGAAAACGCAGGAGGCGCAGGGCCAGCAGGAACCACCCCCTCGAGACTGCGAACCACAAGCTCCACGACTGTCGTTTACGCGTCGAAGGAAGATCCCAGGCGGCGGGGCCGAGACAGGCTGCATGCGGCAACTCTCGTAGCTCCCCCCTTGGTCCCCTCCGGTCGTCGTCGTGGTGGTCGTCGTCGTCGCCGTCGTCGTCGTCGTCGTCGTCGCCGTCGTCGTCGCCGTCGTCGTCGTCGTCGTCGCCGTCGTCCCCCCGGGGCGTGCGGCCGTCCGCGGCCCTGGGCGGCCTTATCGGAGGCCGTCGGAGACCTCTGGCTGCCGTCGGCGGACTTCGGGAGCGAAGACCGGGAACGACGCCCGGGAGCAATTCCCCCATCAGCGCTTGCACTGAAGGGGTCCTAGCGGAGGTTGAAAGATTTGGCGAGGGTTTCCCGCCGATTTTGGTGGCAGGCTGGGTTCCCGGGTTCCCGAATTTTTCCTAGTGTAATTAGCAGGCAGGCAGGCATGGTGATTGGGGTTTTTCTCTCGTGTGATTTTTTCGTCGGCGGCGAGGCAGAGGCAGTCCGCACCAGCGTGAAGCGAAGCGGGGCGGCCGAAAGGCGAACTGTGCGGCGTGCAGGAGGAAAGACCGAAGGCGAGGACGGCCGCGCGAGGGGAGGGGGGGGAAACGCTCAGACGCGGAAGCGCTCAGACGCTCGGGAACAAGGGGGCGCGGGGGGAGCGGGCCCGCTCAAACAATCCACCAACAAAATAAAAAAAAAGAAAAAAAAAAAAAAAAAATAACAAACAGAAAAAAAACAAAAAATAAAAAACAAAAAAAAAAAAATAAAAAAAAAAAAGAAAAACCTAAAAGAAAAAAAAGAAAAAAAGAAAAACAACAAAAAAAAAAAAAAAAAAAAAAAAAAAAAAAAAAAAAAAAATAAAAAAAAAAAAAAAAAAAAAGAAAAATAATAGAAAAAAAAAATAAAACAAAAAAAAAAAAAAAAAAAAAAAAAGAAAAAAAAAAAAAAAATAAAACAAAACATAAAAAAAAAAAAAAAAAACAAAAAAAAAAACAAAAAAAAAAAAAAAAAAAACGATAAAAAAAAAAAAGAAGAATCAAACAAAAAAACAAAAAAAACAAAAGAACTTATAAAAAAATAAAAAAATAGAAAATGCAGACAAAATGAAATAATACAAAAAAAACAAAAAAAAACGAAGAAAAAAAAGAAAAAACAAAAAGCCAGCATCCAGACTCCCGCTTGGCACCGGCCCCCCTCGCCCCTCCTCCCAGATGGCAGTGTTCCTCGCTGACATCCTCCTCCCCCTCCCATGTCCCATCAGCCGAAGCGGGCGCACTGGCTGCTATTCGCTGGATCCCTCCTCCTCCTCCTCCTCCTCCTCCTCCTCCTCCTCCTCCTCCTCCTTCCATCCTCCTCCTCTCCTCCTCCTCTCCTCTCTCCTCCTCCTTCCTCCTCCTCCTCCTCCTCCTCCCCCTCCCCCTCCCCTCCCCCTCCCCCTCCTCCCTCCTCCTCCTCCTCCTCCTCCTCCTCCTCCTCATCCTCTCCTCCTCCTCCTCCTCCTCCTCCTCCTCCGTCTCCTCCTCCTCCTACTCTCCTCCTCCTCTTCTCCTCCTCCTCCCCTCCTCCTCCTCCCCCTCCTCTCCTCCTCCTCCTCCTCCTCCTCCTCCTCCTCCTCGTCCTCCTCCATTTCCTCCTCTTTTTTTTTGGCATCGGGCACTGCTCGACTGCCGAGCAGGTCAGATCGACCAAGTTGCTCACAACTTGCGGCCAGCCTCTGTGGGATGGCGCCCCTCCAGGATCCTTGTGATCCTGCGCAAACGTGCGCGGCCAGCGGCCTCCAGACGGCCTGTTTGCGTCCCCGCTGCCGAATCGCCCCGTGCACTGGGCCCCCAGGAGTTTGCATCGCTCCTGCTCATCTCTGGAGAAGCTTCCGCACTTCACGCACTAACAACATCCGAAGGCAATCCTGATGGCGCGCCCTCGGTCGTCAATGGCAGCTTCGCCGACCCCGAGCACGTCGAAAAGCTCGATGTCGCCCCTGGCTGCTGCCGCCGCAGGTGCCGGTACCAGCGCCGCAGCGGCAGACGAGGCGCGGCCCTCAGGCCGCGCGTTGCACGGGGAACTCCAGAACGCAGCCGCGCTGTCGAGGGAGCTGGAGCAGCAGCATCGCAAGCAACGCGCTCGCCCGGCACGCTGCGCGACGTCGTGCTGCGTCACGGACAGGATTACCTTGGGCGCCTCCACCCTGACGCCCTCCTCCACGTCGCGCCAGCTGCGGGCCGCTGCGCAGCCAGCACCGGCGACCCAGAAGACCACGCCGTCGAGGGTGAGGCGATGCCGCTCCCAGCGGGCCCGCAAGGCCGGGGGAGCGCGCAGCTCCGCCACGTGCGCCTTGGCGCAGCGGTCGGCTTCCAGGTTGCCGCGCCGCCCGCGCCGAGACACCCGCCCGCTCTCGACGTGCCGCGCCGTCGCGCGCGCGATGATCTTGAGGACTGTCAGCCCTTCGGGGCCCAAGCCACCGAATTCGGCGATGGCGGCCCACACCTTCCTCCATATATGCGCCCAACTGCTGGCCGCGCTGCAGGTCGCTGCCGGCCCGAGCTGGTAAAGCCCTTTGACGACGTAAGCCGAGTCGCAGTGGACCACCAATGGCGGCATCGAGCGCCGCAACGCCAGCAGGATATCCAGCAGCTCGCCCCCGTCCCAGTCCTGGATCAGGCCCTGCAGCCCAGCTACAAATACCTTGTTGGCCGAGCGTGGCCCCGGATCGCGGCCCACTCCGGGCCTGGCGGCAAAGCGATGACCGCGCAACCTGCCACGGTCAGGTCGGCTGCCTCCGCGTCGAAGGCGGAGCCGTCCACGAACACCTCGCCACCTAGGAACGTGTCGCCGCCGCCTACCAGCCATCGAACATCGCACATGACGTCTCCGCAGCTGGGCGCCCAGCGGTGCTGCGGTTCGGCCACGAGCAGCCTGCCCGCCAGCGCCCGCACCGCGTCGCTGTCGCTGTGCGCCCTCAGCCCCGCCATGGCCGCGGAAAGGTCGAGGCCCTCCCAGCCGTCGCTGCACTCGACGTGCCGGTGCCAGAGCGTGCCAGGCGCGGCCCCGCACCTCGAGCACAGGGGGCTCCGCGCCAGGCAAGGCCGCGCAGCGTGCCTGCGCTCATTGAGCCACTGAGCATCCACCAGGACTCACCGCCCTCCTCCTCCTCCTCCTCCTCCTCTGCCTCCTCTGCTCCCTCTCCTCTCTCACCCCTCTTCCTCCCCTGAGACCCGACGTCGCGAGACAAAATGCAAAATCGTAAAACTTACGCCCCATCTCTGTGAGGTATTTCTCGAGCCAGATCGATGCGTTCGGGCCCGAGGGCCCCAAAATGGCAGAATAAAACGTATGCCGTATAAGAAATGTGACGCCCGGATCTCAGCGGCTCCTTCCCCTCCCCAAGCCAAGGGCGTCCAAGAAGGGGGGGGGGGTCCAAGACGGGGGTCCGCAAATCATGACCGGAGGCGTTTGCGCGGACGAGGGGGGGACCACCGCGCGCACGGCAAGAAGAGAAGGAGGCAATGACATCCGGGATGGTGTCATGACCCCGGCCGTGATATCGACCCCCTTCCCCGCCATCACCCCGCTCTTGGCCGCCACCGTCCCTCCTGCCCCTCCCCAATACTGGGCGGCGCGCGAGGAGGGCGGCCCTTCTGAGAAGGCAGGGGCCCTCTTGGAAGCCCTCCTGGCTCTTGAGAAGCCCTCTTCGAAGCCTCCAGGCCCTGCTAAGAAGGCCCCTTCCTCCCAAGAAGCGCGCCGCCTTCTCAGAAGGCCACCCCCTCGCGTCACCACCTTGCGCGCGCCGACCAACAAGCTGGGTAGTCGAAGCCAATCTGGCGCCAATCTGGCAGGCCCAATCTGGCAAACGGGTGCAATCCGGCGAGGAAGCCAACGCGAATCCAGTCTGGCGAAGAACCCAAACCATCCAGTTTGGCCGGGCCAGATTGGCCCGTGGGGCCCAATCCAATCTGACAGTCTGGCCTTCGACTACCCGGACAAGACCCCCGCGTGGCGGGGCGCCTGGACCGGGGCGGCGGCGGCGGCCGGGGCCTCCGCGGGGGCGGGGGCCTCCGCCACGGCGGCGCTGGCATCCGCCGCGGCCGCGGTGCCCTCCACCGGCCCCGGCTCCAGCTCCGCCACAGCCTGACGTCGCTCGCCGACGGCGTCGTCAAGGTCGTCGTCCGCCGTCCTCCCCTCTGCGTGGGGCGTGAGGGCATTGGCCCTCGCCTCTGTCGCTACTCGAGCCCCGGGCCCCTCTCGTCGCACTGTGCGGTTGCAGTTGCCGGGCAGCTGGGATTTACGCTGACGCACGACCCTTGCCATCGCTCGGACGTCGTCGAGCGCCACCTAAACTAACGTGACGTAGCGTAACCTGACGGAGACCACGGGGGGCAGGTTTGATGATGTCCAGTGTCCGGCGGGCTGGGGCCTGTTTCTACATGTCTGGGAGGAGAGGTCTGTCTCGACGCGGCGCGGAACGCAAATGGCAGGGGGGGAGAAACTGTGCTTGACTTGCGCCAGGTTCGGGCTGGGTACTTACATGTGTTGACCTTTCGTCCTCGGGTGGAGGGCAGGTTTCCGCGAGCCTGTCTGGATCTTCTGGGGATCTCTGCCTTTTGACGCTTCCAACGCCTGCCCTCGGCTGAAGTATGTAAGATTCTCACGCTGCTGCTACTCATCCTCCTCCCCCCTCATCCTGGTCCCCATCATGTTCCCCCCTCCTCCGCCTCCTCCTCCTCCTCCTCCACCTCCTCCTCCTCCTCCTCCTCCTCCTCCGACCCTCTCGTTGCATCCATGGGTGGGAGGAGGTACGCTCTGCCTCCGTCCGACGGATGCGAGCTTGTATCTGGGAAGGGCGGCAGCATGCGCCAGGCAGCAGCGCCCACGACCGAAAGCTGGCGCCAACCGGACTGCGCCTGTGGAGCTCCTGAACGAGAGCGTCGTGGGAGGGAGGGGAGGAGGAGGAGGAGGAGGAGGAGGAGGCTAAGGGCGAGGGGAGGAGGAAGAGAGGAGGAGGAGGAAGGAGGAGGAGGAGGAGGAGGAGGAGGAGGGAGGGGGGGAGGGGGGGGAGGGAGGAAGGAGGAGGGGAGAGGAGGAGGGGGGAGGAGGAGGAGGAGGAGGAGGAGGAGGAGGTAGGGAGGAGGAGCAGGGAGGAGGAGGAGGAGGAGGGGGAGAGGGAGGAGGAGGGGCGACGACGATCCACGACGCCGAGCGCCTGCCCGGCGCCGCCACCGCCCGCGAGCGGCGCCCCCGCGAGCGGCAGCTCCTCGTCCACGGCTCCTGGCGCGCGGGCGGAGACCTCAAAGCTGCCCCCGCCGCGCAGCCTCCCCATCCCAAGGCTGGCTTGGTAGCGCTTCTCGGGTCGGGCGGAAGGGGGGGATAGCAAAAGGGGGGGTGGAGAATCAGCTTGCGTAGCTGATTTTCCCGGCGCCTCCCGGCGCCGGAGGCGGCTATGTATCGAGGAATGTGCCACTCGGCGAGGCCGAAACCAGATGCATGCAGCAAATTTCGTACCCCCCCCTTTCCCAATCCCCCCCTTTCGCCCGGCCCGAGCTTCGGGGGTGCTCCCACTCTCCCCGAGGGAGAGCTCTAGGCGGGGGGGACAGGCCCAAGGGGGGGGGGCAACACCAAGCCGAAATCGGCTACACATCGCCGCGAGTTGGCGGTGAGCCCCTGACTGGGCATTGGAAGCGGCAAAGTAATCGCTGTTACCGGCGTCGCTGTCCGTTTTCGTATCGAGCTCCGTCGCCGTCTGTTTTCGAGTGCCCGCTCTGGTGCCGAATATGTCGCATGTTGTCGCCGTTTCGGTGTTCTTATATGACTAACTTGTTTTGCATAGTTGAGCGCCAGTTGCATCTTGTGCTAACAATCCAATTTTCATAATTGCAAGCATAGTGCTTGGCAACGGAAGGAAAGCGGCCCTGCCATTTCCAAGGCTCACTAAACTTCCCCCCTTTCTGAGGGGGAGGGGAAAGAGAGGGGAAGTGGGGAGAGGACGTATCTTGACTCGGCTTAATCCATGGGGCCACGACGATGATCGACGGATCGGTGCAGGAGAAGGTGCCCGTAGCGGTGGCTACCCGCCAGCGTGGCCCCACCGCCGAGAGAGCCTGGCTCGTGCGGCCATCGCAGCTCGTGTCAACATGCGTGGCACTGCGGAGAGGAAGGGAAAACGAGAGGGGAGGGATTGTTGCACGAGTCAGCTCATCCTCGAGCGTTAAGTGCCCCCCCCCATCTGCTCACTCCGAGCGTGGCCGATCAGATCGCGGGCCGACCGTGCTGCCCCCAAGCCCTCGCTGTTACAGAGAAGCGACAGGGCAGCGTCCACCTGGCACCTGGGCGGCAGGCCAGTGACGAAGAAAAAGGGGAGGTGAATGGGCCAGACGTCAGTAGAGGGGCCCAAGGAGACACACACACACACATGAATACACACACAAATCCTAGGATTCACTATATTTTCCCAGATGTTCTGGGTTATCGTCCTCCCCCACTTCCCATACTGTCCGATATTTTCATGGGGGTCCACGATTCATTGCGTTTGTGTTTTTCCCCTCCTGAGACAAGGACGAGCCAACCCCCAAAGCGGCTGAGCAGGTGGAGCTGAAACTGGCCTGGCCCTCTCGAGATGGTTCCTCCGCCATCCCTCCTCCTGTCCGCATGGGCTGGATGAGGGCTACCATCAAACAAACCTACCAACTACCACCCCTCATAATTACCTTCCTTAGTAAGGACCTCCCTGCATCCAGGCGCCGACTGGCATCCAACCCGGACTCTACAAGGCCTGGGACACGGACGCTGCCTTACGTGAAGAGAGTGCCTGGACGCATCCTGGATGGGGTAGGAGGATCGCGCCGCATCGCCGCCGCATCGCCGACGCATCGGCAATGCATCGGCAACGCATCGGCGACGCATCGGCGACGTCGGCGTGGAGAAAACGGGCTCTGCATCGAGCCGCGCCGGCGATGCATCGGCGACGCGGCGCGATCCTCCGACTTCATCTGCTCCGACCCCACCTGGGAGGCCTAGACCCCCCGAGCTCGGGACCCCGCAGCCCTCAGACTCGGGGCACCAAGGCGACCGCCGAAGCTCTCTGCAGACCGGAGGAAATCGGACCCGCGGAACCCAGAACCCGCCCGTGCTAAGATTCTACGGGGGAAGGGGATTCGGTCAGTAACTTCCAACTCATCGTCGCCATTTGCACCTCAAGAGGAAAAAACTCTCGTCCTGCGTAAGTAGGACGACCGCCGAGGCTCTCTGCAGACTGGCGGATGCCGTGCAGCGGGGCCGGCCTGCCCGAGCGGGTCGAGGACCGGGGGGGGGGTCTTGCGGCGAGCCGCCGGGGGGGCCACGCAGGGGCGAGGGGAGCGGCGCCGCTGAGGAGGCCAGCCCTCCTCCCTGCTGCTGCTCCCTCCCTCCCTCCCCTGGAGGCTTCCCAGATCCGACGATCCTCAGAACGTGTGTTAGCGCTAACGTGAGCTTGTCCACCGAGAGCCCTTCGGTACGCACATCTGCGCGCGTCACCGAGCGTCTCGGCACGCTGGTGGATCGCAGGCGCCGCGCGCGAAGCTAAGTGCGGAGTACGCGGCTGACTCAAATTAGATGGGCTGGAGAAACACGCGTCCCTCGTGCGTCGCGGGAACCTAACTCTGCCACAGGCCGCGTCAATAACTGACGGAACTGACAGAACCGACGGAGCCGACGGAACGTTTACGTTACTAACGGGGGAAATCTGTTACCAACGAAAACGTTCCGTCGGTAACGGAGAGATGCGTCGGTTTTTCTGAACGACCGAGAACACGATGCTATTTCTTCGTCAACAATCACCCTTACTGACGGAAAGGGTTACGTCAGTAACGGAAAGTTGCGTCGGTAATGCGCACCAGCTGTCGGCGGAGAGCGAGAACAGGAGCGGGGAAGATGAGGGAGGGTATTGAGGCGGAGGAAATAACAGGATAATGACGGGAGGAGGAGCTGAGGGCCAATCTTTGAGTAAGGGCAAGGGGCGAACCGCATCGAATAGACGACTCTTGCGGGGCCCCGACGAGGCCCCGCAACGCTTGCTTCCGAGCGCTGATGACTGTCAAGAGCTGCGAGTAGTCGGCGGAGCTGAGGGAGGAGAGCACACATTGGGCTAACACACGTTCGGGGGATCACCGGCAGATGGGGTCCGAGTAGATGGGGCCGGAGGGTCGCGCCGCATCGCCGAGATGCATTCACGATGCATCGGCGAGGCATCGGCGGCGCCGGCGTGGAGATAGTCGGGCCCCGCGTCGCGCCGCATCGGCCACGCGGCACGATCCTCCCAACCCCGGGTCGGGCGAAAGGGGGGGATAGCAAAGGGGGGGTTTGAGAAGCAGCTCACGTAGCACATTTTCCCGGCGCCTCCCGGCGCCCGGAGGCGGCTATGTATCGAGGAATGGGCCCCTCGGTGAGGCCGAAACCAGCTGCATGCAGCAAACTTCGTAACCCCCCCTTTCCCAATCCCCCCCTTTCGCCCGGCCCGAGAACCCCATCTGCTCCCACCCCATCTGGGAGGCCCAGGCCCCCTCACTCCCTTCCGTGGCGCTCGCAGGCGAGTGGGGGGCGAGGGCGGCAGCCTTCCGAACTGGGCGGGGGCGTTGAAGCGGGGGCGTTGAAGATGGCAGGCCTTCCTAGAAGGCAGGGCTATTCTAGAAGGCAGGGCTATTCTAGAAACTTTTCCTAGATGGTGGCTATTCTAGAAGGCAGGGCTTCCCAGATGGCTTCCTGGATCCCCATGGAAGCCTTTCCATTGCGTCCTGGGAAGCCTCTGGGCTTTTCGGAAGTCCTGGGAAGCCTCTGGGCTTTTCGGAAGTCCTGGGAAGCCTGTGGGCTCTTCGGAAGACCGCCCCCCTCGCGCATACCCCCCTGTGCGGGTCGCCAACCTGCTCCTGCTGATGCTGCCCCATGTCCCCCTCCTCCTCCGTCGTCCTCATCACCTTTGTTTTCCTCCCTGCTCCTCCCTCCTCCTCCCCCCCTGCCTTCTCCTACGTGCGTTCATTACCCTCTCCACTCTTGGGGTCCTGGGGCCTTGACCCGGACGGCCCCCCCCAATTCTTTTGACCTGACCCCAGTCGTTCGGCCATCCTGCTCGCCCCTTCCCCTGACTCCCCCCGCCGCCCCGCTCTCCCTCCTCCCAGTCCCCATCCGGCTCTCCTCTCCCGTCTCTCCTTCTCTCCTTCTCTCCTTCTCTCCTTCTCTCATTCTCTCCTCCTCCTCCCTCCTCCTCCTCACCCTCAGACACTTCTCCCAAAAGCACCCTCGGGCACCACGCCGCGGCCACAACCCCCAACCCCCGCCGCCGGGGGCTCCTGCGGGTCCAGGGCAGACGGCATCGAGGACCTCGAAACGGTTTGACACCGCGATCTGCCACGGCTCCGTCCGGACCCTTCGTGGGCGCCGGGTGCTGGCGGCCCCGGGCGGCCCGAAATCGCCGGCGGCAGCGGCGGCGCCGCTTTCGCCTGACGCCCCCCCTATCAGGGGCGGGCCCCACGGCCGACTAGCCCACAAGCCTCGTAGAGTGGTGGGCGTTGGAGAGGGAAGAGTAGGGAAGGATGGGGCGAAAGAGGAAGGCCAAGGAGGGAAACGGGAGGAGGAAAAAGTGAGGAGCGCCCCCCCCCCAACACAACAACAATGGATACCGACGTGGATGTGGAAGCGATACCACTCTGCATCTGGAAGCTATGTGGTGCAAGTTATGGGGTGCAAGCATTGTGGTGCGAGCTATGTGGGCCAAGATGCGGTGCAGGCGATGTGGTGCAAGCTATGTGATGCAAGTGTGGTGTTGGCTATGTAGCTATGTGGTGTAACTAAGTTTGGTAAACTCGTGAGTTGTCAACTTCGCTGCTCGCGCAATTTGTTTGACATAGCCCATGCGGACACTTAAGCGCGGCCGTGACTCGGGCGGGCACGGTATTATGATGATGTCGGCAACGGCGACAACGATGATGACAATAATGTTGGTGACGGTTATGACGATGATGACGGCCAAGCCAACGACGCCGCAGACAATGGTAACGAAGGTGCTGCTGCTGGCGAAGACGGTGCTGATGATGATGATGATGGTGATTATGTTCATGCGTACCCAGCCCATCATTCCTCCTAAAAGGAAGAGAGTTTCCTTATTTTTTTGGTGGGGAAACGATACTCTCTTATTTTCCAGAAAACCTCCTAAAAAATAAGAGGGTTTTCTTCCATAGGCGAAACCCACTTAAAAAATTAGGTACCCTCCTATTTTTATGTGATAACAGAATTTGCTTAATTCCAACTACACCTAATACGAAACGCTTGCTTTGGCCATGCCTGGTTCTGCCATGCGTGGTTCGGCAACGCACCGCCGATATCGTTTTTTATTAGAAGTTCATTGCCAGCACAGCGCGATTGTCATAGCTGTGCCACCCGTATCAACCACTCATACGTTGCACCAATCATAGATTGCACCGCGTAGGCTACAACACTCATTGGTTGCACCGCTCATAGCTTGCACCATTCATAGCTCACCACTCGTAGACTGCACTTGTCTCCGCGTAGGCTACACCACTTAGGCTGCCAGCGTGTTGCACCACAAGCTTGCCCCGCGCAGGTTCAGTTACGCCAGCACGTGGTGCACAAGAGGCGAGTGGGATTCCCCCTTTTGGCCCCCATTCTCCTCCACGACTTTGCCGTCGCAGTCTCGTTCCCCTTTTCGTTCGTCCTCATCATGTTTATGTTTGTTGTTTTTGTCCCCTCCTCTCTTCTGCTTCCCTTCCTTCCTCCTCTGCCTCTCCTCTGCTTCCCTCTTCCTCTCCTCTCCTTCATCCCTTCCTCCCTTCCTCCCCCCTCCTCCTCTCCTCCCCTCCTCCCTCCCTCCCCCCTCCTCCCCCCAAGTGTCCTGATCGTCGTTGCGGGCGTGGCGGAAGCCAACACACACACATATATATATATATATATATATATATATATATCGATGGTGGTGATGGTGATATCACCACCAACAATTTTGTCAAGCCAGCGATCAAAGCCGATACTTCTCAATAGCCGACCTGTGTATGTATTTGCAGTGCTGGCTAGAATGCGAAACGGATTTCACGCAAACGCCGATCATATCTTCGTCCAGGTAGTTCCACGACTCGCGTGGGTTGCCATGAACCTCGTAGTCCTCCTCCGCAAGGTGTATGAACAAGTGGTGCTTCGGGTATACCCGATATGCGACCCACTGGCGAGGACGTCCAGGGTGAAACGACAGCTCAACATACAGAGTCACGTGCTGTCGCGCCAGCCTGCCCAGCTTTGACGACATGAACTCTGGGCTCCCGCCGTCCTCCTTCGATCGTGGAAGCTCCTGGTAGAACAAATGTAGATACCGCACACAATCAAGTCGCAGCCGCTGATAATCGTTCTCAGGAGGCATTATCTTGTCCAAAATGAAGTGCACAACAGCAACCATAAGCCGAGTATCAGACGCCTTTGTCGCCAAACGAGGTGCTGCTTGCTTTTTTCCTTTGAGCATTCCGATCGTAAGTTTGTTCACTGGTGGCTTACTGTATCCCAGCTGTTTGCTCGCAAGCTTGATGAAAACCGTCAGCTCTGATAGTGTTTCTGCCGATTTGGACATGCTGCCGCCCATCTGCTTGAATAGATCCAGTAATATATTTCCCAGCAGGTATTGTGTGATGCCAAGGTCACACACGTGCATCAGGTCCAGCACGATGTAGGATAGGACGAAGCCTGGAAGAGTCCAGAACTGAGAATAGTATTCGCCATTATGTATCATATTTAGCATGTGCTGCTGGTGGGTCAGCGTCGTGCTTCTCCACTTTGCGAACTGGCTCGGGTCGGTAAATGGGCACTGTCCTGCTTTGTCGGCTCCGCATCGAAAGCACATCCTTTTCAAAGGGCCATCGCCTTGCCAGCCTCTGAGGCCGATCACCTTCTTCAGCCAATCCCAATCGAATCTGCCTTGAATAACGCCTCCTTTTCGCTTGAGCGCCTGACCAGCTTTGGAGGCTCGATCGGCGTCACCACGACACTTGGAGTCTGCAAACCATGTTCCGTCGTGCCGTTTGGCAGGGTAGCGTCCTCCGAGGATCCGTGGGCCGAACACAAGACGATTCGAGGTTGCAAGGGAGGTGTGGGAGGAGCTCGGCCCAGGCCTCCTCCCCCACCAGCCTTCATTCCTCGAATGGCATTGTATTTCTAGCATACGGGTCCTGTGAGCCAGGTTCTGAAGCTCCACGTGACCACCTTCCAGATTGAATCGTACGTGCATCGGCCTTTGCATCCGCAGTCGCAGTAGAGCGTGCCAGGGACAACACATATCCACCTACGACTGTGATCATCAAGAGTGCTGAGGCAATTCCAATGGAGCAAGAGCAGCTTGTCTTTGTTGGTAAAGGGGGCTTCGTCGCCCCAAACACCCACGGCCACCGTATTTTCAGGGTCTGACAATCCAACTCGGTTTGCCCAATCTGTCCTGGTTCGGTTGAGGGCCGTACCCTCTGGAAACGTAGTCCAAGCGTCAGGTTCATCTGCCAATGCCTCGAACACCTCGTAGGGCAGTAAGAAGTACGTTCTGCATTGCACCTTGGACTGCGAGTCGTAATCCCACATGTCGATCATTGCCTCGTAAACCTCAGGCATGCGACTGCGTTTTTTGAGTGAGCTGATCACGGCACGGTGGGCGTTCTCTGGTAGCGAAGCAGAAGACCGACCCGACATGGACCTGAGCTCGTTCAGATCACTGGCCGAAAGTGCACCTCGTTTGAATTTCCTCGTAGCGAAATCTTCTACTCTGTCGGCGAGCTCATCGGCAGAGACTGTTGCTGAACGCTTAGCGGGCACTCTATCGAGCTGCAGTTGCTGCCTTATTCCGTTGCCACAACCAGGCATTGCGAAGAGAACAACTACGATTGCGATGAACGTCATCTCAAGAAACCGTAGGAGACAAATGTAGAACGTTTGAGCCAAAATTGGCTACACGTGGTGATGGTGACGGTGGTGGTGACGATGACGATGCATTCGATGGTCGTGATGATATTCGTCATTATGGTATACTTTAGCGTCGTGTCATTTTCTTCATCATGTGCCGTGTCATTGTATGTCAGCATAATCCCACCCATTTCGGCGCACCCCTCACACGGTTCGTGTCGTGCTGTTTCACGTTGAATGTTTGACATGTTTTGCGATCGGAGGGGGCGGCTTTCGGAGGAGCGGAATGGGGGGCAGCTTTCAGAGGAGCATATTGCGGGCTACACAGAGCAACGGGAATCAAAATCTGGCGGGGCATTCCTCTACCAGTCCGCAGAGGACCCAGAGCTCTGGAACAACCCAGGTCTTGGGGGGGCAGCCTTCGGTGCGGTTTGTCTTTTGGGGGGCAGCTTCTGGAGGATCGGGAGGGCGACAGCTTCTGGGCACTTTGTCTTAGGGAGGAGGCGGATTGGATGTCATGCAGATGCTTTTCACGCCAATGGCTCAACCTTGCTACTTTGAATCCCCATGTAGCAGTCAATGACTGCTCGTACCGTGAAGGAGTCCCCCGTGCCATTCGCCACGTCGGGATGATGCGGCACGCCTTACGCAGGCGATCGATCCTGCGACTCGACTGGTGAGTTACTTCTTGCGGAACTGCAGGAAGTCGGCAAGCACGTTCTTGCGGTAGATGGTGTACAACTCATTCACGTTCTTCATGCTGTCGGAGAGCTCCTTCGCGCACGACTCGTACGCCTCCACGCTGTCCTGCTTCTCGATGTTCTTCATCTTGGCCCACAGCTTGAAGAGGTTATCGTTGTTCTCCTTCTGCTGCTGCGTCTGCTCCCTCAAGAAGGTCAGCGGCCCCTCGCCCCAGTGGCCCGACTTGGACGCGATGCGGTCCTCGATGGCGCCGACCTCCCCGAGCTCCTTGTTAACCTTGTCGTACTGGACCTTCGCCTTCTTCACGACGTCCTTGAGTCGCGACTGCGCCTCGGCGAGCTGCTTCTCAAGCTCCAACTTCGCCTTGTCCTCTGGGCTCAGGTCTGTGTGTTCTTCTGCATCTGCTTTGCTCGGAGTAGCTCCAGATCCCGATGGTGAGATGTCCTTGCGACGCCTCTTAGTATTCGGTAGAGTCGGGACTGTGATGGATCCGTGATTCTCCATCATGGCCCTGATGTCGTCGACGCTGTCCTCGGGCAAGTCGGTCTTGGTCTCGAGCGCTACGCTCTCCGTCTTGGTCTTCGTGAAGGCGTCCTCGTGATTCAGCGGGCAGTAGTACTGCTTGACGCCCTCGTCTGCGAGAATTGGCGACTCGTGAGGGCGCTCGAGGAACTCCTTGCCCTCGCACCTCTTCCTGGCGTGCTCCATCGAGTTGCAACCTCGTGGGCCCCCGAACTCCTCGACCGTCATCCACGCCCAGCTGCCCCTCTCGATGCTGGCAACGGAGCGCTCCACCGTATTCGTCATCAACGACCCGCCAGACTTCGGATCTATGAGGAAAGCCGAAAGCCACTGGCGCTTTTCCTCGTCGAACTTCAGCTTGGAGAACTCCACGTACTTCTCCGCATTCGATGCCTTCAGCGCACTGTTGAGTGCGCTGAAAGCTCGCTGCCTCAGACCACGTTCGACTCCTGCAATCCCAGCTGCTGTGACGTCTCCTCCTTCTTTCACCAGAGCTGCACGAAGCTCCTCGCACGCTGCAGGCAACTGATCAGGTCGCCGCTTCGGCGGCATCGCAGCGATAGACTTGCTGCTGTAGAAAATCCCAAGCTAGAGCCAAACGTGCTCTAGATTGCGATGTTGATGGCGATGGTGGGGCGCGTCTGGGCACGGGCCTCAGGCTGCAACCAATGGGGGAAGTCTACGATCCAGGGATCTCGGATGCTTCAGCTTATCTTTCTCGGATCTCGGCGTCTTGGATGCTTCAGAGGGGGAGAACGCAATGGATCCCGAGGACAGAGAAGGGATGGAGGAGGAGTGGTGAGATGGAGAGGCAGTGAAGCTGCAGGGAGGAAGGGGAGGAACGAGCTGAGCTGACGATGGAGAGAACGAGTTGGATGGAGGAAGGGGACGGCGAGCTGATGATTCTGCTCACATGGTTGCCGCATGCGCAGCTAAACGTTCCCTGCGCAGCCCTGAGCATGCATGAGACTGTCACATCTCCGGCACATCTCCGGCACATCTCCGGCACATCTCCGGCACATCTCCGGCACATATCTGGCACCCCAGGGGTGCCAGATATAGAAATGATGAAAAACCTTGTGTTTTTTGATATTTTATATCTGCCACATGTCTGGCGCCAGATATGCGCCAGACATGCGCCAGATATGCGCCAGATATGCGCCAGATATGCGCCAGATGTGTGCACGCCCCAAAAAGACAAGCGCAACGGTGAGATTAATCATCGCGAGCTGCGATGCCTGCAAGCTCCTCATACAGCTCGTAGGTGTCATTTGCGATGGCCTCCAAGATCGCCATGTCGGCGTCAGTATCTCTCCCATCGCTGTCATCCACGGTGACGGGGGACGGTGGCCTTGCGATGACGGGCTGTGGCGCGAAGAAAGGAGCCTGACAACCCAGGATGATTGGCACGTCGAAATCGGGGGAACTCGAGCAGCACGCAAGGGAGTATGGCCTAACCCAAGATGATGCCATCGACAGGTCGATGATCAAGGACTTGTTCCTGTTGTGGAACGAGCACCACTGCGTCGCGTCAGAAATGTCCAAACTCCTGGGCTCCTGTAGCGTTGGATGATCTATGGAGTAGATGGTGCCCTGCTTGGTCATCCTGGCCTGGCATGAATAGCATATCCATTCGGGCACTTCCAACAGCGAAGTCGTGTTTGATAACTGTGGAGCCCACCTCATGCGGCGATCGCCTTCCACGGTTGCGAAATTCCCCGACTCGAGGGTCACCATCCTCGCGCAGCACAGTGGCACCACGTCCAGTGGAGCATTCGGGGGAGCTGGACGATTAGGCCCCTGGTTGCTCTCAAGAGCAAACTCGACTACAGTCCCGAGATTGAGCAATGCGTCAGCAAGCGCGCCCCAATTACCTAGTGATGTCCTGCAGCATGGACAGACTGGATACGCAAAGTGCTCTGCGAGCTGCCCGATGCAATCTGCATGATTGGCGTGGCCGCACACTGCCGTGTACACGGCTCGAGACCCAAGGGGTTCGAAGCAAATGGAGCAAGTTGCTCCTTGTGACATTGTGCCAAAAAGGCTATCTACGCATGATGGTGATGTGCATGATGATGCGCATGGCGGTGTGGTTGTTTTGTTTGGTGTCTGTTGGTAACGTTTATGCCTGCAATGCTTTTGCCGACGAGGATGTGATGTTGGCGATGCTGTTGCGGTTTTATGTTTGTTCATGTTTGGCATATCTGTTGACCGTTGTGTTTGTTAGTGTGATTTTGGACGCGATGGGATTATTGTCATGCCGTACTTTGTGAGGCAGTCTCAAGCGAGAAAGCGATACTTCTAGATCAGAGCTCCTCTAGAGGTTGTTAGTTACAGAACGCATCGCACCCCGCTGCGTGGCTAACCAGGAGCTTCTGGCCAGCTGGAAAGGATTAACTTTCGGGGGTTGTTGAGGCCTTTCGAGGATTGCTGAGGCCCTTCGGGGAGTGCTGAGGCCTTTGGGGCATTGCTGAGGCCTGTCGGGGAGAGCAGAGACCCTTCGGGGAGTGCAGAGGCGCAGGTTGTTCCAGAGCTCTGGGTCCTCTGCGGACTGGTAGAGGAATGCCCCGCCAGATTTTGATTCCCGTTGACGACAGAGTGCAGAGGCCTTTCGGGGATTGCTGAGGCCTTTTGGGGGAGTGCTGAGATCTTTCGGGACCTCATCTACTGAGGAATCGTGGGCTCCTCGGCAAGGGTGAGGCCTTTTGTCGAATGCTGAGGCCTTTCGGAGCCTCACCTTAGAACTACTCTGCTTTTTTTCCAGATCAGAGCCCTGCTGCTGCAGGATCAGTGCAGTGCGAAACGGGCACATGCACGCACGTTGGCAAGAAGAGGGTCCAGAGGCCGCTTGCGCGCATATATCGAGAATATCACACAGCCAATGTTCTGAGAATGGACATCTCCGCAATCATTCTTCGCATGCAGCGTTGTATTTGCAAAGGCGCTTAGCAATCTCCCAAAATTCTTTCACGCGCTCCTTATCACAATCAGTCCACGTCAATTGCATGCCACATTTCTTATCTCTCGGATACTCATCTGGGAAATCTGGGGGCAACTTCTTGATGTTGGTCAGGTAAAACCTCCGATGGGCGAGCTTCCCCACAATCAATGTCACTTGAAACTTTGATGCCGATCTCCCTCCCAAGGAATCGTAATCCTCTTCGCTGTTCGGGTCGATAGTGTACGTTTTCTTGCCCTTCGTGAGCTCGATTTGAGACTGTGCATCTTCAGGAAGCAAATCCCAGCCAGCCTTGGCCAAGTCATCGATGGAGGCGTCCTCGTCCTCCTCCTCCGCAACCTCGTCCTCTGGCTCCTCCTTTTCATCCTCAGCGTCCTCTTCCTCAGGGTCCTCGTCGTCTGCGGCGGCTTCCGCCGCTGCTGGCCTCTTCAGTGGTGGCGCTTTCGCGGCTGCGGCTGGACGTTTCATTCCTGCTGCCTTTGCTTTCCCTTTTGGTTTGGCAACCTTGGGTAAGCTCAAACTTTTCCCATCCTCCGAAACGCAAGAGTTGGGCACCTCAGTTTGCATCTCCACATCTCTGCCTTTGAAAATGAAGTATGCGGTCGCAAAACCAGCCTCACCCCGCGAGAAACGATATGCAGCGATTCGGTCTCCATCACTGGTGAGGGAATATGCCATCATCAACTTATTTGCATTATCTGGTTCGATGTATTTGAAAATTATCTCGGCTGACTCCTCATCACCATCATTGATATATGGATCGTCCTGGCCGTAGGCGGCGCGAAAAGCTGGTAAAGGGTGAGGCTTGGCTGGCCTCTGGAGGTCATCCTGTGGCTTGCAATCCTGCATACTACTGTATATCGCCATGAGCCAAGCTGGGTGAGACTTCGAGGGTTTGGATCTGGACGCCTCGTTGAGATCCTTGTAATGTTTAGCTTTTTCTCGAATGTGTCCCAGCATCACACGTACTTTGAAACTCATCAATCGAAGAGATGCTTGAAAATCGTCGCACTTGTGCTGAACCCCCCATTGAACGACTTCGTCTACTCTCTCGGCGTACACCGACTCGAGGGCTGCATGCACATCGCCTTGGCGCAAGAATCCGCCACGTGGATCAACCTCAATGCAACGTTTTAAACAGTCTTTGAACCGAGAGAGCCCATTCACATCGATGCCTGTTTTGAAATCAGTCCCAGCGTATGTCGGAAATTCGCCCTTTTTGTCAAAGCAATTGGCAATCAACTCAGCTGCATCATCCTTTTGGAATTGTCTCGTACGTGTAGACATGGTGTGCGCGTGTTGCAAACGAAAGGCCTGAGTCGAGCAAAACGGATTATGAGACGGCGCAACGACCGTCAGGCGTGATGGCGAGGGGCCCAGGAGCGTACAGGCAGATACCCTAAACAGCAATGGCCACGAGTATCATAAACACACGCGCGAACACTACAAACGCACACGCACGCACACGCAACTACTACTACTCGAAGTGCCCTTTTATACAGACAAGCTGTTCATACTTATCCAGGGATGCGGGGGGGCACAACAATCGGGGGGGGGGGGGAGAGCACTTGGGGGGAGAGCGGCTATCAAGCCCAGGACTTGGCACGGGTGATCTTCCCCCCATGAAGCCGCAAGAGGCGTTCGAGAAGCCTCCAAGACGCCCCCAGAACGAAACGTAACGGCCTACCCCCCTCTTTCTCACCCACCTCCTCCTCCTCCTCCCCCTCCTCCTCCTCCTCCTCCTCCTTCTTTGTTCCTCCTCCTCCTCCTTCCCCTCAGTCCCTTTCCTCCTCCTCCCTTTTCCTTCTCCTCCTCCTCTTCCTCCTTCTCCTTCCTCCTCCACCTCATCCTCCTCGTCCACCTCCACATTTCTCCCAATCGGCTTCTTCCTGCTACATGGCGGCCAGCTCAAGGGCTGAGCTGAGGTGGCCCAGGGCGCATCGAAGCGATCGAAGCACCACGGGTGCCACCAAGCTAACGAGGAGGAGGAGGAGGTTGATGAGGAGGGGGAGGATGATGAAGAGGAGGAGGACAGACTGACGGACGAAGCAGCGGCCCGTGTCTTCCACTTTTGCCTAAGTGAGGAGGGCGAAAACCAGTTCCTCAATTTGGCAGTTAACTGCCAAATTGAGGAACGGGTTTTCACGCCATCGGTGCGAAGGCTGATGATAAATCGTCTCTGTGCTGCGCTGAAATGGGTGCGAGGACCTCGTCATCGGCCCCGTCCTCCTGCTCCTCATCCTCCATCTCCTCCTCCTCCTCCTATGTCCTCTGTTGTCCACTCCCCCACTCTTCTCAGCCCTCCTCCCCCTCCTCCTTTCCTCATCCTCAATTTCCCTCCTCCCCTGCGGCTGCTGCTGCTGCTGCTGCTGCTGCTTGCTTCTTGCGGTGCTCCTCCTATGGTGGTCTGGGCAACGTTTTTTTTTTTTTTTTTTTTTGTTTTTTCTCGTCTCTTCTTCTTCTTCTTATCCTTTCTTCTTTGAGCCCTCTTCCTCTGTTCTTTCTTTGGCTCTCTCTCTCTCTCCTCTCTCTCTCTCTCTCCTCTCTCTCTCTCCTCTCTCTCTCTCTCTCTCTCTCTCTCTCTCTCTCTCTC